ATTACATTGACTCATCCTGTTTGGGAGAGCAGCTGGAGAGACAAAATTCGTTCGGTTTCACCGTTGGTGGTCTAATGTGTCTCAATAGTGCATTCCTGATGGCAAATTCCACACCGTGTTCTCTGGTCTCGTCTGGAGATTTCTCGTGCCAGAAGAAGGAGAAGGCCTCTCTCTCACAGATCCTAATCCTGAAAGCCTGGTCTCTTGGAGAGCAATGATATCTATCTACAGTTTGCTCAGCTCCCTAGCGATGCCTGCTGTTATTCGAGCGTCGTTGTTGCAGGTCGTCAGAGAAACCTGGGTTCAATGTCCTGATGTTCAATGTGCCCATCTTTAAGGCAGTTGCTATTTTCTTTCTGGATTTGGTATTGCTTGGTGCAAAGTTGTCAGTTTTCACCCAAAACCCCACGTACCCAGTAAGGTTAACGGACCGTGGCGAGGCAACACCTTATTGGCTGAAGTTTTCCCAGCTTGAGGCGGGCGGTAGCTGCCCAGTGGGGCGCGATGACCCCTCCCACCGTCGGAAGCAACCCCCTGGCGTCACACTCTTCGCCAATCGAGCAGAAGACTTTAAACCGGTAGACTGTCGCTTCCCGTGTTGGTTCGACGCTGTGAGGCGAAGCTGGAGTGTCCTCTCTAAGGCGCAAAGCCTGGGTAGGTCGATATGGAGAAGCTGTTGTCCATGAAGCAGGTCCCCCCTCTCCACGTTGCTGAAATTTTCCAATGGAAAGGCAAACGCCAATACACTTGGTTACAGCGCCACCGTTGGGGCTGCCAGAATGAAGTTGAAGTTGGTGCCTTAAGGGCTCCAACTCCGGTTGAAGGTTGACGCCTGAAGCCTTTCCCAAAAGTGGGTATGATCGCAAAGCAGCGGAGATTTGAAATCAGAGTTTCCCCTTTCCCTAGATGAGCTGCCTTCCCAGGCTGTCCAGTCTCATCTACCTGGAGCAGCTGGTTTTAAGGCGCCAGAGGCACGCCCTTGCTCCTTCTGTCAGTAAAAGCAGTTCCACCGGACTTAGAGACTTAGCCACCCGTGCAGACCAGGAGTTGGACTTGGTTGTCAGAGGCTATTTGAGACGCACGCTGTACGGGAGCTTTTTATAGGTCGTGGGAGCTCGTTCCTCATTACCACCCTCTGGCTATGACAGCCCTTGGAACCCAGTTTAGGTTGGATTTATAGTAACGAATAGGACCATCATACATATTGATGTATATATGTACGATGTTGCAACCTAACCTAACCTTCTTAGGCCTCATACAAGTTAGCTGAGGCCAAATATAGAACAAATATATGTAAAACACTAGGCCTAGGAATGTTTAAGTTTGGGTTTTAAACTTTACTTTTTCGGACTATAACATGAATAGCACCAAATTTTACTATCTAATTGTCCATTACATCTATATATTTACGATGGTTTACAGTTACAAAAAATATTATCTAAACAGGAGGATGGGTTGCAGTGTATTCACCTAGTTGTGATTGCGGGGGTTGAGCTCTGCTCTTTCGGCCCGCCTCTCAACTATTAATCAACTGGTGTACAGATTCCTGAGCCTACTGGGCTCTAGCATATCTACATTTGAAATTGTGTATGGAGTCAGCCTCCACCACACCACTTCCTAGTGCATTCCCTTTATTAATTACTCTGACACTGAAAAAATTCTTTCTAATGTCTCTTGTGGCTCATCTGGGTACTAAGTTTTCACCTGTGTCCCCTTGTTCGTGTCCCACCTGTGCTGAAGAGTTTGTCTTTGTCCATCCTGTCAATTCCCCTGAGAATTTTGTAGGTGGTTATCATGTCTCCCCTTACTCTTCTGTTTTCCAGGGACGTGAGGTGAAGCTCCTTTAGCCTTTCTTTGTAGCTCATACCTCTCAGTTCCGGGACGAGCCTGGTGGCATACCGCTGAATCTTCTCTAACTTTGTCTTGTGTTTAACTAGGTATGGACTCCAGGCTGGAACTGCATATTCCAGAACTGGTCTTACATAAGTGGTATACAGGGTCCTGAACGATTCCTTACACAAGCTTCTAAAGGCAGTTCTTATATTGGCCAGTCTAGCATATGCCGCTGATGATATTCTTTTGATGTGGGCCTCTGGGGACAGGTTCGGTGTGATATCAACCCCCAGATCTTTCTCTCTATTTGACTCCTGCAGGATTTCACCTCCCAGATGGTATCTTGTGTTCAGCCTTCTGCTCCCTTCGCCTAATTTCATTACCTTACAGTTTCCTGAGTTGAAATTTAGCAGCCATTTTCTAGACCATTCCTCCAGTTTGTCCAGATCATCCTGTAGTCTCTGTCTATCTTCATCCGTCTTGATTCTTCTCATAATTTTTGCATCATCAGCAAACATTGAGAGGAACGAGTCTATACCCTCCGGAAGATCGTTTACATATATTAGAAACCGGATGGGTCCAAGTACTGAGCCCTGTGGGACTCTGCTGGTGACATCTCGCCACTCAGATGTCTCCCACCTCACCGTTACTCGCTGTTTCCTGTTGCTTAAGTACTCTCTTATCCACTGGAGCACCTTCCCTTTTACTCCTGCCTGTTGCTCCAACTTTTTTAACAGCCTTTTATGGGGTACTGTGTCAAAGGCTTTCTGGCAGTCCAGGAAAATGCAGTCGGCCCACCCTTTTCTTTCCTGCCTAATTTTTGCTGCCTAGTCATAGAATTCTATTAAACCTGTGAGGAACGATTTACCATCTCTGAACTCTTGTTGGTGGTGCGTTACAAAGTTATTTCCCTCCAGATGCTCTACGAGCCTTTTCCTCCGATCTTCTCCATCACCTTGCATGGTATACAAGTTAGGGAAACTGGCCTGTAGTTCAGTGCCTCTTGCCTGTCATCCTTCTTGTATATTGGGACTACGTTAGCTGTCGTCCAACTTTCTGGTAGGTCTCCTGTTTCCAGTGACCTGTTATACACCATAGAGAGTGGCACACTTAGTGCTTCTGCTCCTTCCTTTAGTATCCATGGTGAGATTCTGTCAGGCCCAACAGCCTTTGTCACAGCCAGCTCCAGCAGACACCTTTTGACCCTCATCACTCGTGAGGTCAAATTCCTCCAAGGTTGCTAGGTTTGCCTCCTCCTCATTTAGTTCAGGGGCTTCTCCTTGTTCTATTGTAAAGACCTCTTGGAATCTCTTGTTGAGTTCTTCACACACCTCCTTGTCATTCTCTGTGTATCTGTTCTCCCCTTTTTTAATTTCATCACTCGTTCCTTTACTGCTGTTTTCCTCCTGATGTGGCTGTGCAGCAGCTTTGGTTGGGTCTTGGCTTTACTCGCTATGTCCTTTTCATACTGTCTCTCTGCTTCCCTCCTCACTCTGAGGTATTCATTCCTGGCCATCTGGTATCTCTCCCTGCTCTCCGGTGTTCTGTTATTTCTGTAGTTTCTCCATGTTCTTTTACTCAGTTGCTTGTGTGTGTGTGTGTGTGTGTGTGTGTGTGTGTGTGTGTGTGTGTGTGTGTGTGTGTGTGTGTGTGTGTGTGTGTGTGTAATCACCTATTTGTGCTTGCGGGGGTTGAGCTTTGACTCTTTGGTCCCGCCTCTCAATTGTCAATCAACTGGTGTACAGATTCCTGAGCCTACTGGGCTCTATCATATCTACATTTGAAGCTGTGTATGGAGTCAGCCTCCACCATATGCCTAATGCATATGAATGCCTAATAGTAGTTAGGCATTCTAACTACTGGAATGGCGTTAGGTATTCTACTAATTAGATGGAATGCCTAATACATTCCATCCGTTAACTACTCTGACACTGAAAAAGTTCCTTCTAACGTCCCTGTGGCTCATGTGGGTTCTCAGTTTCCACCTGTGTTCACTTGTTCGCGTCCCGCCAGTGTTGAATAGTTTATCCTTGTTTACCCGGTCGATTCCCCTGAGGATTTTGTAAGTTGTGATCATGTCTCCCCTTACTCTTCTGTCTTCCAGGGTCGTAAGGTGCATTTCCCGCAGTCTTTCCTCGTAACTCATGCCTCTTAGTTCTGGGACTAGTCTAGTGGCATACCTTTGGACTTTTTCCAGCTTCGTGTTGTGCTTGACAAGGTACGGGCTCCATGCTGGGACCTCATACTCCAGGATTGGTCTTACATATGTGGTGTACAAGATTCTGAATGATTCCTTATACAGGTTCCTGAACGCTGTTCTGATGTTAGCCAGCCTCGCATATGCCGCAGACGTTTGTTGGACCATTCACTCAGTCTGTCTAGGTCATCTTGTAGCCTCCTACTATCATCCTCTGTTTCAATCCTCCTCATAATTTTTGCATCGTCGGCAAACATTGAGAGAAACGATTCAATACCCTCTGGGAGATCATTTACAAATATCAGAAACAGTATAGGTCCAAGGACTGACCCCTGCAGGACTCCACTGTGTGTGTGTGTGTATTCACCTGGTTGTTCTTGCGGGGGTTGAGCTTTGCTCTTTCGGCCCGCCTCTCAACTGTCAATCAACTGCTTCTAACTACTACTACTACTTCCCCCCCCCCACACACACACACACCCCAGGAAGCAGCCCGTGACAGCTGACTAACTCCCAGGTACCACATATGTGGTGTACCACATATGTGGTTACCCAGCAGGTGTTACTGCTAGGTAACAGGGGCATAGGGTGGGAAAGAAACACTGCCCATTGTTTCATTGATCTTTGAGTGTGTGAGTGTTATCTAATTCATACCTTTATTTACAACTCTAGCACTGAAGAAGTGCTTTCTGATAATTCTGTTGTACGTTATTTTTATGTTTTCTAGCACTGAACATTGCTTATGGAATTTCTTATAAATTCATTTGGAATCATATATGTCGTTATCATGTCCCTACCCTCAGTCTTTCCTCGTAGATATCTGTCTAGATAGACTGGATATCTGTCTAGATAGACTGGATATCTGTCTAGATAGACTGTGGATATCTGTCTAGATAGACTGTGGATATGTGCCTAGCATTTTACTCCAATACTGGGCAAAATTGGCTTTTAATTATATCTTTTTGAATTCCAGGTCGCCCATGGCCGCGCGTAGTGTCTACCACCTGTTACTAGGTAAGCACCTGTACCTGTGTCGAGGTTCACTATACTAGTTGTACCCACCTTGTGGGGATGAGCTACTTATAACCCTTAATCGAGTGCCGTACAGGTTCCAGAGAACTATTACACACACACTGTCGTATCTACAGTTTAACTGTGTACAGAGTGTGCCTCAACCATTTTTTTTTGTTCACCATTCTGACACTGAAAAAACACTCTTGCTAATGTCTCTTTGACTCATTTTGGGAATTTACTTTTCCTGTGTCCACCTGTTCGTGTGCAACCTCTGCTAAGAAGTCTCTTCTTTCTTTGGGTCGTCTATTTCCTAGATTATTTTGTATGTGGTGATCATGTCTTCTCAATTTCTTCTCTCTCTCTCTCTCTCTCTCTCTCTCTCTCTCTCTCTCTCTCTCTCTCTCTCTCTCTCTCTCTCTCTCTCTCTCTCTCTCTCTCTCTCTCTCTCTCTCTCTCTCTCTCTCTCTCTCTCTCTCTCTCTCTCTCTCTCTCTCTCTCTCTCTCTCTCTCTCTCTCTCTCTCTCTCTCTCTCTCTCTCTCTCTCTCAGAAAAACGAGGATTAAATCCTCCTCGTAGCTCAGACCTCTCAGCACTGAGAGCAGTGTGGTGGCATACCTCTGGAATTGGTCCAGCTTCATTTTGTTCGAAACGCGATAAGAGACTCGACACTGGTGCCACATATTCAATAACAGTTGTGTGGGGTGTAGGCTCCTGATCGACTCTTTGTTCTAATTCTTAAAGGCAGTTCCGCTCTTGGCAGTCTTGTATATGTATCCCTGATTATCTTTGTTTGATGACGCTTTCTGGTAACAGGTTCGGCGTCATCTCAAACTCCAAGAGTTTTCTCTGGATATTTCCAGGTGTTTTCTCTCCTTTACTTTGCCTTGTGAACTCTCTCCTGTTCCCAGCAACCAGCTTTATTATTTTACACTTAACTGAGTTAAACTCTAGGAGCCATTTGTTGAACCATTCTCTGACAATGTCTGGTCATCTTGCAGTTTGTTACAATCTTCCATTGTATTTAGCCTCTTCATAATTTTTGCATCATCAGCGAACATAGAGAGCATGGAGTTAATTCCTTCTGGAGAGTCACTCACAAAGATGAACAGGCTTAGCCGTGCCACTTACTCTGGTCGAATGCCGCTGGCAGCATACCTCCACTTTGAGATCTTGTTCTATATTTTTGTTCTAGAAAGATTGCAGTAGGTGTCTGTATCCCATTATTCACTTTATTACTTGTTAAGTGCTTTGCGATACCGAGTCTAGCTATTGTCTTACTTTTATTCTCAATGTTTAGTAAAGTTGGTTCTTACTAATCTGAAAGTATTTTCCTTTATCATTGTTATCCTACTTTGTAATTATGTTGTCATCTACCTGTGGTTAGCTGTTCATAATAATTAATAATCGTCCTTGTTTTCTATGGTACACCTCCCATTCGCCCCCCCCCCCCCTCCGCTGATTTTACAGTAATTAAGCTTGAAGCATTGAACTATCAACTGCCTCAACTATGCTGGAATGAAATGATGGCGAATTTGTTAAACATGAACGGCCATTTGTAAAACCATATTGTGAATCATTTATTAATTTATGTTTTTCAAGATGAAGACGAATGGTATTTGCAATTATTGATTCAATCAACTTTCCCACAATAGTTGTGAAGATAATTGGCCGATAGTTTGACGCAAGTGATCTATCTCCTTTCTTAAAAATTGTTACCACATTATCCTCAGTTATAATGGTGAAATAGATGGTGGAATATAATGGTTGAACCTGTTTAACGAATTTACAAACTGTGAAGGAAACGTTTAACGAACCCATGGACGTCCACTACCAGTCTAAGGTAATTAACGGTAATTAAATAGTAAGTAAAATGATGCTAATGAGTCGTCTGTGAGTGAATTAGCAACACGAACAAGATGGCTTTACGCGCACGAAGTTGCAAATGTCTTCGCGCGAGTACATACCAACCGATTGGGTGTGGAATAAGGGGAATATATAACAATCATTATAACCAGCTTATTACAATGGAAAACTGACAATGGATCCGATAAGGAAGTAAATGGTGGTAGATTCCATGAGGAGGAACTGTGGAATGGAGAATTGGGTCAGGAAATCCATTTGCCAGAAAAAAATAATTGCCCTCCGAGTGAGTTTTTTACTAATTGATCAGCAACTGGGAGAGGCAGCGGAAGAATTTTGGGACTGAATATTCATATGTGAGTGCAACCTTTGGGAACTCTCTATCCTCCTGTCCCCACCTCTTTCCCCCCCCCCCCCCACCAACCTACCTACTTCCCTCAACCCCCCCCCCCCCACCCTCCCTCAGGCTTCTCGCTAAAGTTTTCCACCACTAACAGCTAAAAATAGTCTCAAATATTCCGCCGCTAACTTGTTGCAAGATATGCTTGCAATATTTCCAAAATTTTGACAAAGAAACCCCACATTGCAACAGTCTGGAGTCAGACGTGGTTCTGTGTGATGCCTGAAAGCTGTTTGTTGGGTTTTATTATGTCGGTTATTTAATGAAATGATTAAGCATTGGTTAGTTGCACCACGCAGTGAGCATAACGCCAACTGGTACTCTCATGGCTCGAGGAAATACACGAGCAACGTGTCACAACCCAACATGGTGGATACATCTAACATGGCGAATGAATCCAACATATTGAAAGAATCCAACATGACGGATTAATCTAACATTGATAACATTGAGGATTTATCCAACATGGTAGATGAATCCAAGAACGGAAACTAAATCCAACATGGCGGTTGAATTCTACATGACAGACGAATCCAACATGCGTAATTTTATTACGAAAAAGCTCAAGCTAATTTTATTAAGACATAAGACGAAAATAGGTGACGCATAACAGCGAAGACCCGCGCAGATTAGCGGCGTGATGATACGCACCAATTTTGCTCGTCTGATTCCGTTGTAAAATGAGCTTGTGTAAGAGAACATTTTACCAATTTGTTTAGCTCCACAGTCATGATCAGAGGTAAACACGGACCCTCTGGGAAAAATGCTACGTTTATTGTGTTCAAAGTGTTTTTATGTTTACAAGAAAGTTAGCTTTTTTTTATTGTTTTCATGTAGTTGGCTGTTTTGTGTTTACATATTACCAGCTGTTTTATGTTTACATGTGGTCAGCTGTTTTGTGTTTACATATTATCAGCTGTTTTATGTTTACAAGTGGTCAGCTGTTTTGTGTTTACATTTTATCAGCTGTTTTATGATTACATGTGGTCAGCTGTTTTGTGTTCTCTTGCATTCGTATAGTTCTTGATTACTCCGTCAAGTGATTACGTGTTGGCACACCGTCAGTTACATTGAATACCTCGCAGCCTGCTGTATCAATCACTCCCACAGGCATCAAGCGCCATTAGACCCTAAACAGTCAATAAAGCCAGACACACATCAATATGTATCAGGGACTGTTGACCGTCGTTGCTTCTCGCACTCACAGCCAACCTTCAGCATGCTGTGGAGCCTGTCAATACTTGCTCACTGCACCACTCACAGTCACTTACAACCAGTCTGCTGCCTTGTGTTAAGCTTATCAGTTCTGCCCCCCACCTCACACCAATTTCCCACCGCTTCCGTTCACTTTGTTCACCTGGTTTTCACTCCCCTGGTTTGGGTTGGGCTATGGACCCACCAAGCGATGGAGGGTTACTAAGGCCACTACAAAAGTCAAGAGTCTAGATCAACCTAAATAATGTAAATAACATGCCCATGCTTGATACCTCTCGGGAAGGTGTCTTAGATGTTTTTTAAGTCTTAAGCTGCATATTACCACATCTTCCTCACGTGTTGCGTGTCCATATAGACAGTTTTAACAGTGTCGTTGGTACTACTGAGTCAAGCATAAAGACAGAGCTACTTTTTTGTGACAGCGATGTAAACCTGGTGAATATTGCGATTGTAGTTGATATTTAATTTGATGACATGGATGAGTCAAACTACATGCTTTCCTTTCCACTGATGAGTCAAGAATAAGGCTTCACCTCCGGCCAGAGAGTCAGAGTGTGAGTTGGTAACAGCTCTATAAATCTTGCTTGTTTTGGTAACGTGATTGAATACAATTGATTACTCGTATTGTGCTGGAAAAATAAAACGGGGCACTGTGGTATTTTTTTGCTTTGTTTTCCGTGATAGGGAAGAGGAATCCTGTCCGGATTGTGGAGGTGACCTTTGCACACGGAAAGACTAACTGCGCCGACACCTAACCGGTTACACGCCGGACCCTTAAGTGTTTAGAGTAAGCCGGTTATTGGCTGAACATAGAACACATTTAGTCCTCCTATCCATTTATACAAGTGCGCTTCTGGTTGTGGGACCACGCACAATCTTCCACGGACAAATGATGTCACCAATGAACATAAAGAGAGAGAGAGAGAGAGAGAGAGAGAGAGAGAGAGAGAGAGAGAGAGAGAGAGAGAGAGAGAGAGAGAGAGAGAGAGAGAGAGAGAGAGAGAGAGAGAGAGAGAGAGAGGGAAAGAGAGAGAGAGACAGAGCGTGCATGTGAGTAAGAGAGTGACTGATGGAGTGAGTGACAGTGAGAGAAAGATTGATAGCCAGGTAAAGACTGACAGACAGACATACGTGTATATGGAAGACAGCTAAGATAGTCCCAATATACAAAAGCAGGCAAGACACAAGCACTGAACTACAGGCCAGTTTCCCCCTAACTTGTATACCATGCAAGGTGATTTTTTTTTTCAATTCCAGCGCGGGCCCTAAGATATTCCAGGATATTCCAGCGCGGGCCCTAAGCCTCTGGCTGGCCCACTAAGTGTTGCTTGTTTCTGTTTTACTTGGGTGGAGTATGAGTATTTATGACTCGTATAGTCGCTTCAGTAAGATTTTGCCATATGTGTTTCAAAACTTCTTCTGCTCTGTTGAATCTTAAGTTGAAATCTTAATGGGTTTATAACTGTGCATTGTGTTAGAGTGCAAGGTGATGGAGAAGATCGTGAGGAAATGGCTCGTAGAACAT